GATGGCAGCAGTTCTGAGAAACATTTTGTTAGGCTGCGTGGTAAAGGAAAGTGATGTGTCTTGAAGAATGGAAACATTAAACTATAGAGATTTCAGCAAAGAAAAGAAAACGTATCCGTAATTGATTTGCATAAACAATTTTTCTTTGAAATATAATGCTAAAAACTCTTGATATATTAAATGCACAGCATAACATTTAGAAATATTAAGATATTAAGTATTATTTATCACTTAACCTTTTCGTTTAAAGCGAGAATATTTACTAAGTTTTACTTCAAGGTATGGTATTTATTCTTCTTGTAGTGCATTTTTAATACATCAAACGCATATATGTGATACTGTTGTTTATGTGAGTCATTTTTTCTTCTTTAAAACACATTCATAAATTCAGAGTCTAATCTTACTGTCTTATATTCGGACGACACAATGTCACTAAGGGAAAATGTTAGGTGTTTATTATCTACTAAATTTTGCGTGTATTAATTCGTTGATTACCGTGTTTGCCAGCATATAAGACGCACACCTTTTTTATACGCATTTTTGAAGAATAAACTCTATTACTGAACATTAATACAAATGCAATGTAATACTTTCTTCAAATACCCAATCTATCTGGGAAAGAACACCTTTTGATCGCCTTCGTCATAACCCAGACACTCATCTCCAGAAGCTAAACTAAAAGTCACTTGAATCCTCTTCTAAATGAGCACCTGAACCCTCTACAACAAATTGTCCTGTGTTCCATTCAGTGTGATCGTCGATGTCAGCGCATGCGCATTCACTGAATTCTGATTGTAATATTTCCACACTCCGCAAGGAAACAAGAAAAAAATCGCGTAACTCGGGAAAAAAAAAAAAAAATTTTTCAAGAAATGAAATTAATCAAAAACTGAGTATCGACGTATAAGACGCACCTCTTTTTTCAGACCTATTTTCAAAGAAAAAAAAGTGCGGCTTATACACCGGCAAATACGGTAATTGTTTTTATTATTTTTACTTAATAAAAAAAATCAAATTAAGATGGACCATCATAATTTTGTTTTTCGTAACAAAAATGCTTTAACTTACGAAGCAAAACTGTATTCATCGATGAAGTAAAAAAAAACAGCAATCTCATGTCGTTAAACATGCTGAGGGGAAAACGAAAGTTCCAGTACTCCACTTAAGAGTTCAAAGTTATGTCAGTCAAACCAGTAGAAGCTTGCCAAGAACACGTGGTTGGAAATTCCGAAAAACGATTACAAAAGAAAGTTGAAATCTATCCTGTCTGAGCGGGTGAAAATAAATGGAAGTTGTTGATTGCAATGATTGCGATTTTCCGAGTTGTTAACTCTTTATGTCGTTCCACTGTATCATCATTTTCTACCTCGCGACAACTTGCTGACTAGGAGTTTCATTTTCACACACATTCCCTGCATTTATACGCGGAACTCTTCCTAGCTTTTCTCGTATACTAAGAAGATATTTTTTTAATTGTACAAACCTAACAAAAAATTCAAACAAATAGATGCTGTTGGACGTTTTTTAAACGTACTCTTTCCCTTTATAAAGTAACTCGATGTACCTCAGTTTTCGATTATTATTACTCGGGGGTTGGTTAAAATTATATGTAATTAACGAGACCTCAGAATACACTTAACATCAAAATACGATTCTTCAAGAACATTTTACAGAAAAAATACAAGACCAAAGGAACAGCTGGAAATGTTTTAAACGTTTTTTTTTTTTTTTTTTTTTTTTTTTTTTTAATATTAATTTTGTTCAACGTGCGTACATATCCCATATGTCGGGAACGAACACAATGTAATTCATTTATAACTTACACGCATACAATACATTACATTTAATTGTTTATATTCACTTTTTGTATTCATAGTTTTACAATATTTCTTTTGTTTGTTTTAAACGTAATTCGTACGTTACTTACATAAACTTAACATACATAAACACTTAAACTTACATAAATACTTGAACGTAACCGGTGTCTTATACATCCGATCTCGATAGTACGTCAGTCATTAAAAACTCACTGGAGCTCATTAAAAAGTGATGCGCTAACTTCTGTAAGGACATTCGATAAAATTTTAAACTAATCCTTAAAATTTTTCAAAATAATTTCGGCATATTATCTGAAGAAGGGAAATTTTTATTTATTTATATTATAAGCTATTTTCTTCCTCCTTTCTGCATACCTTCCTAGTGCAGTAGGAAGCATACTCGACACGTATTCAAAAGGTCCACGGTTCGAATCCCATCGAGGACACTACACATTTTTCACGTTTCTTGCTTTAAAAAAAAAAAAAAAAAAAAAAAAGACCTTATGACTCGACAGTGGCGTCCGAACCAAAAGGTGACGTAAAATAATTCGTCTCCCCCAGGATCGCGATTGTTTCCCCTCATTCCCAATTGTCCTTTAAAAGGAGGAGTAGATAAGGTATTTTATTTTTCCTTTCCGCATGCCTTCGTGGTGTAATTGGAAGCATACTCGACCCGTATTCGAGAGTTTCAGGGTTCAAGTCCCGGCGAGGGCATACGGAAAATGGTCTAAGGGGATACGCAGAAAAAAAGATGCATTGGTGGTCATTGATGAATTGATTGAACATAAGAGAAAAGAGAAAAAGCCGTTGTTAACAACTGGCATTTCCAGTTTAAATATATCATTAGAAAAAATCCAAATAATTAAATTGAATCCTAAATAATTTTAATTTAGAAGGATATGAAGGATTTAAGAAATGAATTAAGAATGTTTTAAATTCAGTTTAGGCATATATTTTATTTGCAGGATCATTGTACCTATCGAGAGGAGGGATAGGACCATCTGCCGACAGCTGACAATAATAGACACATTTCAAGAATCCTTACACAAAGCGGGCGGGCAATTCGGCATAGTTTTCTGCAGTAAAATTTTATTTCTGCGAAGAATCGGGAAAGATACATCAGAAAGGCTACAAAGCAATCCAGAAATATTTTAAAATGTGGAACAGATGACACTAAATTGCTTTCCTTTCCAAAGGAAAGTGTCTTTATCAGTCCGAGAAAATGTTTAGTTGATTGAACTGAAAAGGTAGAATCTGAAAAACAGAATAAGGAACTCTAAGGAGAATAAGGCGCTTAAGGTAGAATTTGAACAGAAATCCCTCATCTTATTCTGGACTGACTTGAAAGAAGAATATCCTGTGCTATTCAACAAGGCAAATCACTACTCTCTTACCATTCATAAACACCGTATTAGTGGAGAAGACTTCCTGGTTCTACACTAACTTAAAAAATATATACAGAAACAGATTCTCCAGCGTAAGTTCGAGCTTAGGAATATTTGTTTTCAAAAATACAGGGTTATTCAAAAAGAAAGAGCAGATTGCAAGCATGTGATTCTTCCAAACTACAAAAGATAGAAACATGATTCTAACGTTAATGGATAGAGAAAAGTGTACAATTTAGTACGGGTAAAAGTTCCAATCATGGCCGCATTGGCGCTATTGTATGTTCTGGTATTATTTGTCGGTTGGCAGTCTGTAGTGAAATGGCGGCGACACCACAGCAGAAGTCTTTTGTGTCCTACAATTGGCAAAACTAGAGTCCATTGTTGCAGTTCAGCGAGCATTTCGCCGTCAGTTTAATAAACAACCACCGCGTCATAAGCAAATTCACGAGTGGCATCCAAAATTCGTAGAAGATGGTTGCATCTGCAAAGGGAAAAGCACGGGACGTCCACGCACATCGAACTAGAATGTCGAGCATATTCGTACACTTTACGAAAGGATCCGAAAGAAATCCACATCGCGAGCAAGCAAAGATCTTAAAATTCCTCAACCAACGGTATGGCGAGTTCTAAAACATCGTCTCTACATGAAGCCATACAAACTGCAGTTACTGAATGCATACCATAATTGTAAAGTTTTCTCTATCCATTAACATTAGAATCATGTTTCTATCTTTTGTAGTTTGGAAGAAATAAATGTTTGAAATCTGCTCTTTCTTTTTGAATAATCCTGTATAATTAAATATGTATATTTACGATTGTACTTCATTTTTACTTAACTAGCAAAAATAAAAATGTCTCTGCGTTATAGTTGTAGAGTTCCCCTTGTTTGCATAATAAATTTATTTTAAATTTGATACCTTTCCTGAACTTCTCAACTTCCCCGCCAGGATGTAAATTTTAAGTTAAGTGAAATGAATATTTAAACGGGTGAATCTCTGAGTTTATTGAGAGCGTGTTTTCGCTAGCCAGCGCACGTTTCGTTGCTATCTCGCTGTTACGCTAGTAAGCCTCTTGGCCATTTCGGATTATCATCAAGTCTGTTAGGTTTTTGTGAATCAACCTGTTAGGCGTAATTTAACGTGCTAGTCCAAGTACTATTTTATTTAAGATTTTCGACTTGAATTATATCTTACGTTTTCACTTTCACCGCAAGTTGACGGTGCCATTGTAAAGCACAAAGATCGTGCCTTTCTGTTACTCACTTTGAATTAAATTTCAAGGTCATTTTTTACCCTTCGTTTGTGCTGGCAATTTACTCTCAAACCTGTGCGAGAATTCGCCAGGTTCATTGAAGAATCCAATTTAGTTTATGTGGAATCACAGAGACAGATCTTACATAATTATTATTATTATCGTATCTGTAGATGATAGTAAAAATGCGTAATGGGGGTAGGGTTGGGGTGTAATTTGGGGGAGCAGTGGTGAAGCCATCAAATGAATCATTATTAAATGAGTTACTGCTAGTTGGGAGCATTCTTCAATTAAAAATTCTTTTTTTAAAACGCTACTTTAAAAAAAGTATCCGCAATTTCATGCATTTCTGAGTTAATCACATTATCATATTTTGTAAACTCAGGAAATAAGTGTTTTAAAACTTTTCGAATTTTTTGCTGATTTTCTGATCATTTTGTTCAGTTTAAAAACGTAATCTATAACATGTGTTACAATTTAGTGTACTGCAATCAGTGTCTTTATTGTGTCTGTTAACTGAAGATTCTTTTTGTTCTTATTTCAGATGCGGAACTTCGAGAGCAGATAACAGAGGCCAGTAAGAAGAGGTTTAGGGAGTATGCCAACGGACTTGACAAATAATAAAAGAGTAGCAGCTCGACACAGCTAGCCTGTACGCAGATGATGGACCCTTTCACAGTCAGAGTCACTGTCATTCTTTCGTGAGAGAAAAGAGGGATATAACTAATCCCATTTCCTCTTTGCTATTATCATCATCCCAGGGTTCCCACGATCTTGCACAGAAAGAGTCAACATAGTTTTGTCTTCAGAGCTTCTTTCTTTAGTTGCATTTTGTGGAAGATAATGATCCAGAATTCTGGTTTGCTGGAAAGGCACAACTGTGGGTCTCTCGCCAAATATTAATAACAACATTCTCGCCTTAACGATAATTTTCTCCTGATTTTTTACTCCATCATTTAATTAGAACATGATTTCTGCAGATTATATCTCCAGCTAATATTAAATTACTAACGCAAATATATGATGCACGCGTGTTTCAATGAATTGTCATCATTTCTATTCCTGTTCAATAATATTTATAATATTTCAGATATATCTATGGAAAACTTAGTGCTGAATTGGTGGTTAAAATATATTTGAAATGTTCTTAATTATTGATTCATAATGTTTAAAATTTTTTATAAAATCTTGACTATTTTAATGCATATTTATAAATGTGCATCAACACAACATAACTTAACCTTACTTCAATAATTTTTATTGATGTTCTTAAAACTTCTTCGAAACTATTAAGTATATTTCTTTGTTTGTTATATTTTAATGATGCAAAACACTTGAAATCCTTTGACAAAACTGTGCTCCAATCATGCAGATTTACAATCATGCTAAATTAATCTTGGATAGAGTTATTCGTAAGTAGCAGTTATTCAGTTCATGATAGGTTACAGTTGTTTATTTGTGAAGAGTACTGCAACTCAATGCTTCATTTTTTTAATTTGGCGAGAGTATCTGCCAATTAAAATTTCAGAAATGTTCGCTAATTAGAGCGTGGGAACTCTGCAAACCACCACCAACCACCATTGTGATATAAAACAAAAATCCGCTTACAACTGCACCGTGCCCTACACTTTTCATTCACTTCGTGCTGTACATACTCTTTACTATAAATTTATGAGCAAAAAGAAACTTTCCTTGTAGAAATATAATAGGAATCAGCGCTCTTCGATTGATTTTCGTGATAATCATATGTATCTCTATTTTACACTCATTGCCATAAAAATGTGCGAGTCAAGAAAGAGTTGTCAGGATCGAACGAAATTTGATGTATGTGAATGCAGTGTTCATATAATTAAGTTTGAGCTTCAAACCCGTCGTGCGCGACTGCACTCCATACGAATGCGACGATTAATGGTGTCAGCACATGAAATGGGCGCCGAGATACCAAATTTCCTTCAGCCAGGCACCTCACAATTGTACAGACAAACATAGGGGCGATACTGAAAATACTTCACCTGTGTCTGGATTGTGGACAATTATGCAGCTGGCGTTGCATGTGCGTGTCAGATGATATGATGTTACTGTCCGCTGTTGGTCTGCCAAGGGCGTCCTGTCTCGTTGGTATGCAACCTGTCTCTGTCGTCCACTAGTCCCAATGCACTTCCTCACAGTGAAGTCAGGACGGCTTATATGGCGGGCTTGTTCGCTGCGCGGACCACCCAACTTACATCATCTCGATGATTCTTCCCCACTTGATCTCTGAAAACTGATCATAGTATCTTCGATGACAATGTAACGGATCTCTAGTGAAAAGGTGTCCCCTTGAAACAGTTTAACTATAGGCAAAATGCCTCTGCGTATCGTTTTTATGTGCCAGGAGAAAACGAACCTCAGTGGCATCGGATGGCATTACACAATGTGCAGTCATGCTGTATGTCCAATCATTTGCTTATCTGTCTGACACGCACCTTCATGCCAAGCTTTGTTACGATCCAACAAACAGATCTTAGTCCGCAAATTTTTATGGCAATAACTGTATATGAGAATATATGAGAATATCAAATTTAACATATTTTCATAATTTAATGTACAAATCTGAAAGCAAATGAAAGAAGTTTATAAAACATGAAAGGAAAAGAAATTAATCCAGTATATGTATATATTATTATGCTTCATCATTATACAATAGGACTTTTCAGCAAATATACTTCTGCGGAAGCCTTTAAATAATATTTATATTCCCAGTGAATCCCTCATAAAATTTATTATGTATCATTATTAATATATGTTATTTTTAAAAACTTAATTATCCGTAAAGGAAAACGTATATATTTTTTCAAGTTGTTGATGTAATCAAAAATTTAACTTCTTTTTTTCGCAACTTTGTTAAAGACAAACTGTTTTTCAAGGGCCTGGATTAGATTAGATTGTCTTGATCGAAAACTTCATTTTCATTCTTGCATTTTCTGCGTGTAAAATTAATTGAATTCTTATTTTTTGTTTTAGTTAATACGGAAAATACAAACCACCAACTGTCCCAAATAAAAAATAAATTACTTTAGGGAAAAAATTACCTGTCAACATGGAGTTACCAACGACGACGAAGAGCGCTGAATCAAACCCCTATAAATCCTTGTATTTTTGCCCCCTTTTCTCTATTATATTCACATTGAGTGTAAATAACAGTGAAGTACATATTTGTTGTATATTATGATAGCGTTATTCTGCAATATTCATGCAAATGAGAAGAAAAAGTGTTTAAACTTATACTGTGCATGAGTGTAACAACAAACAATGTGCCATCGGAATCTTAACGGTTCTTTCTTGACATGACTTCTGTGTTTTTTTAAACAAAGCACTCTTACATTATTTATTATAGTTCAAAGCTTACACAGAATATGCTACAAACGTTTTCTGAACGTCAAGAATCCTTAATTTTTATTTACTGAACTACCTTCAAATACTAGCGTTAATTTTTTAAACGTTCTGTGATGGCCTTTTTTTTATTTTTTCATTTCTCAAACGCAGTGAGTTACGAAATAAAATAATTTAACAATTCATTTCTATCGAACGTCAATGCACAAAAATATTAAACCCTTTTTTGACTTAAATAACAGAAACCTATTTTATTGACTTGAAAATTGACTTGAACTATTTGACTATTTGACTTGAAGATTTTTAAAACGTAAATAAAATAGGAAGATTGAAGAATGTAAGGTTCATTAAGTGTTCTTAAATTTATTTTTAGTTTCCATTTAAGTGAATTTAACCAAGGCCAACGAATTTTAACCCTGAAGAACGTTTATTTAAATTTCATTCGCTAAACACTTTCATATTAAAAATTTAATTATTACATTTTTAATTTTCCACTTTCTGTTATTTTTTGCTTGAAGCAAGTGCTTGATAGTCCCTTCCTTCAAAGAAAAACTAAGGAAAGCTCTCCTAGTATATGGTATAAATTTATGTTAGATTTACTTATGTACGGTCAAAGGTGAAGAGAGAAATAAAAAAAATAATAATGAATTTCAAAAAAGATATTGATATTTCCTCTTCCATAAACATTTCTGTATGCATTTGAATAACTTTTATAACTTACAGAAGTTTCAGAATTTCTTATTTGACAATTGTAATATTTTTATGAGAAAATAGTTTTTGTCATTAAAATATTAGTTTTAATTTTTAAAATTATAACGTTTTAAGCTCTATTTCCTTATTTCCCTAATCCGTATTAAAAATCTAAATTCTTCCGAAAATCATCCTCTTGACCCAAAATAAAAATGAAAATATATTCCTACATGAAAATCAAATCTTTATTTTATGTTTAATGGTTAGGCATTGCAATAGCATTTTTTTGTAGTTGTGCTACTTACGCTTTGCAAAACTGCTCATTTCTGATCACTCGCAAAACTTTTCTAGCTATTCTTGGAAAGGTGTTTTTGTTTGTTTGTTTACAAAAATGCTTCAGTGTCCCCTTTAATAATTCTCATAACTTAGTCACAGTTTCCCCTGAAATAGACTCGTAGGTTAGAAAAGTGTCGTCAGGACACAGGAACCCAGAGACATTCTGCTGGGTTCAATGTGGCCTGCATCGTTACCTCCCGAGGGAGATTCGTCGCTTCGTGTTTTCTAACTTCTCGAATGCGGCGAAAATGAAAAGGTTATATTTTTGGCCTAATTAGCCAAAAGCAGGTTGTACAGGATCATACAAAGAAAAGTTTACTTAAAAAGAAGCGAAATAGGAATGCAATTTCAGTCCTCCCTTCAGCTGCATTGCAATGGGATTTACTGCTCATTTGGAGCAGAAGCTGCCCCAAAACGTCCTGCTGAATGTTATCTTTTAGCCAGTTTCTAAGAATTAAGCATTGTTAAGCAAAAATAATTAAGCATTATTTTTGTTACACTCATGTAATCAGTATAAACACTGTTGAGAATTACGAGATGTGTTACGATCTATAAGGCCAGATAGAACAAATAACATCTATAACTAAAAGCTTTTTCATCTTAAATTCGTTGGGAATTGAACAATGTTCTTGTTAAAGCAAGGGTCTCAAACTAGCGACCTAATTTTAAAACAAAGACCATAACAATGAAATTACAATACTTCCCCTCCACTTGAAAAAAGAGGCCCTCTATCAGATTCCCTCAAAACTGGTAGAGCTTTTCCATAAGCTTAATCTAAAATTACATTTTGAATAATTTTTAATTTATTTGAAAAGATAAATTTATAAAAATGTGTTAAAATGCCTTTTGTGAAGTTTCATACTTTAAAATAATACCGCAAAAGCATTTTTAAAAATGAGAATTATTGAAAATGTTGTAAAGCTAAAAACCGAGCCACGGTGAATTAGATAGAATGGCCTTATGTACTGCTAAACCTGTATTACTGTCTGAAACAGATTATTTGTTTTGTGGCTCATTATAGCTCTTTAAGTGACTAATCCGGGCCGCCCCCCGGGTTATTTTCTCTAATAATGGAGGCGGAACTGTAGAGTTACTGGGATGGGACTATATTATACTATCAATGATGAATTTCTGGTGTCCCGCCCAGTTTTACCTGAATTAAGATTTTGAGAAATCATTCTACCGGCAATTATCCGGAAAGCAAATTATGATTCTACTGCTATTTAAGTGATTTGGAATTTTATAAAAACTCAAAACTTATTTTTTAGCTGCAAAGCTCCTAGCTTTAAAATGAGGCGATGTCAAAAATTCTCCTCTGTCTAGTTTTCGAAATTATTCACAAATCATATATTACTCTGGAAAAATTTATTTTTACCAAAGTCATTGAAATAATTTTTTATTTTTGCTCTTTCAACCAATGCCGATATTGGGCTTTTCCTGGAAAAGTTCTGTCAAACATGATCATTCACAATAGATATAATTACATATTGTATATACTACTGGACGCGATAAGATAATGTTTATAACTTCGGTATTTTCGATTTTATTATTTAATAGTTTATGACGTTAAATATTAAATATTGATTAACGTCCCTAAATATCCGGACGTTTTATTTAATAATTACTTGTTAAAACAATTCGAAAAGTTTACTTATTTTTTATCATATCCTTTAAAAGTAATTACTGTTGCAATTTAAGCCTTTTAATACCATTCCGTTTATATTTATTTCTGCCTCATTGCAAGCATTTTAAAATAATTACCACTTTTATCAGTAATATTTAGTTTAGTTTAGATGTAGCGTGATTTATTGTCATTTTTCAGTAATATCTGGTTCAGTGTAGATGTAGCATAATTTGTTACCATTTTAAGCAGTTTTTCTGTCAGTTTAATCTTGCAACATTTTACAGATGGTCCTAAATAATAACGCTAAGTAATTTATCTAGTCAACGGAATAGTGTGAAATGTCTATAAATACTACGCTTTCATATTAAGATCGCTACATTTTTCATAACAAAAGTGCAATAATAATCATTTTGCTGCCATACCATACGATTTGCATGAAAATTAGAAAAAACTGCATTTTACTTCAGCGTTTGAGACCCTTATGAAATCTTTTACTTAAAGTAAACTAAGAGTACTTATTTTTTATTATTGTTATTTTTATTGCATTTTCAATATTTATGTTATTTTACATTGTGTGATACTGTTTGTTAATTTCATATGTATAAAGTCAATCAATATATCTTAATGCAAAGCTTATAAAGTACGGAAATTCAGTGTTATGTTACTCGAGTGGAAAAGTATACTTTTTGTACCACTTATGTTTATATTTCATTTGTATACCTGCGTGTATAAAGATTTTGTACAATGCCATGTGGTATTGCATCAGATGCTGAAAGAGTAAATCAAGTATCCTATTCTATTATATTTGTATACATATATATAAATTGCATGCCGTATTTTTAGAAATGAATATGAAGTCTAAATTTTCTACTTTCAAAGTAACTTAAGCAAGAATTTTGCTGCATATGAAAATGGCATTGATAGAATAATTTTAAGTTTCCAGTTAAAGGGATTCTCTGAGAATATTTGCAGTAAAATCGCTTCTTATTTTCCATTCATTTGATATTTCTCGTTACACAGTATTACATGAAGCGATTTATCAATAAATTATTTATTATTTGGTTTATATACAATATGAAACTGTTTCCTTAAAATTATCTGTCAAATCTTATTTTTGAATTATGTTGTACCCTAGTGAAGGTGGTGGCATACAGAAGTGCAGCAGATTTTAGATTTATATAATCAGAAATTCTCGATTTATTTTATTAATGATCTTCTTCTTTATTTCTTTTACATCGTAAAAAAAGTTTTAATTAAACGGAAAACAAAAAAGAAGTACACCTGCATCAAAATGAGGTACCCTTCCATTGAAAGTGATTTCGTATTATTTTAGTGGAAGGCTTAAGATTCCTTTATTAACAGATGACTTTCGCAACATTTTGCTTGCTTTTTTTCTTACTAATTTATTTATATTATGATACATATAATCACATGTTTCCAACAAAATTATGCAAAATATTTGTGCTGCTTTTGAAGAAAATTGGCCTGTATGTAATTCCCTCGAAATACACAACTCATTTCTTATAACACTAACAAAAGTTTAAATATAATTAAGCCTAATATTAAAGTGCGTTTTAACTTAACGCTGTGAATGCCACGTCACTCAAACATGAATGATGAGTAAGTTATTCCGTCACCCGTTGTGGTGATAGATTTATTAATCTTTAATTAATCTATTAGGTATGACAATATTAAAAACTAGCAAATTTTTAATAGTGACAAAACTATTTAAGAGAAGCAGCACTCAAAATTATGCACGAGTACTTACAGGTAACTTATCCGTTAAAAGATATTCATAAAAATACTAGCTTTTTATGACATACAAAGTGTGTCCGAAAAGTTTGATAAATGATCTCAGAAAATAAAGGAAACAAGAATTGCAAACAAAATACCTTTACTGGGCCTCCAAAGTAATCACCATTAGCTACAATACACTTCTGACATCGGCAGGTGACAGGTGACGGAGGACGGGGACGTCTGGTGTTTAACAGGGGTAAGCAGGCATATGTCCCACGCCTTCCACTATCCAGATGCAACAACTCCCTGGATCCGCACAAGGCCGCACCGGGAGTTTATTGATATTCCATTCAAATTAAACATGGCCATACAAGGGCGACATTGTGTTACATTGAAATTTGATGTACATTTGTGGGTAAAGCTGTGACAAACTGTCAGCAAACGCTTCTTGTGGAATCGCTCGAAGCACCGTGGTCATGCATTGTTGGATACCTTGAAGGGCTAATTTAAGACGGGAAAACAAAAAGAAGTGTGGCAGTGCCAAATCTGGAGAATAAGAAGGGTGTTGAAGAATAGAATTGCAAATTCTGGTCAGACATGTCGATAAAATCTCTAGACGTTTTCATTCGAGTTTGCTTCCGCTCGTCTGCCAGCGAATACGGTACAAAGTAGGCATAAATCTTCTGCCTTTTTCTAATGTAAGCAATAGTGCTTACACTGTCTTTGCTTATCTTCAAATTTTCTGCTATCATTCTCAAAGACAGCAGCCGATTATCCACAAGCATCCGCACCCATTCAATGCTGTGTGGGACTAGGCCTATTGGTGGTAGCCTCGAACGCTGCTAAAGCGTTTAAACCAATCAAACACACACTTTTGTTTACTGCTTCGACACCATAGACTTGCACTAACATTTCATGAGTCTCCGTCGCCGGCATCGCTAGTTTAAAGTAAAACTTCATGTAAAGGCGCTGCTCCATATTGCAAAGACACGAATTCTCACACTGACTTCATTAGCTTAGTCGCAGCGTGTACCACTGCTTCACTTCGGTGAGTTGCACGATAGGGGACGCTTGTTGACATGTCTGTCAATAGATCGATGTCACTTTTTACTTATAGTTAATTAAGTACAAAATAACTTACTTTTTCGAGTTTGTTGAGAATAAGAAATAAAAAGTAAAAAGGAAAGACTTTTGGTTTATGATACTTCATGCACGGATTTCCCTTTCTGCAAAATTTTCACTCTATATCTGCAAACGTATAAAAAATGTGTAAATAAATGTAATCATATTTTTATAATGTATATAAACAAGCCAAAAACGAATTATAAGCACTTATAGTTTTATAGTTTAGTTACAATATTGAGAAGACGTCGGATAAAACAAGGTCTAGAAAGGTAATTTAGTAATATTTTACTAATTGCTAAAATTTAGTGTTCTGTAAATTTTAATAATCAATAACCAAAATATGTAATAAGTAAAAATTTACTCATATGAAATTGGACTAAAATATGATTAAAAATATACTTACAAAATGTATCCTATTGATCCACTTGGGTTTTTCCTCGAAACAAAATCACATATTATCCCTCCAACAGTTTTTCATCCTGTATTTGTTTTGATTATCAGTTTGCCTGTTTTGTTGGTAATATACACCAGCGCTATTATTTTAAGGAGATGGTTTCTACATAGTATATAGTTTATCCACTCAAAACAGTAGTAGAATGGTAAAGTAATTTTTAAAAAACTTCTGTAACCTAACATATTCCATGGTTAAAAATCTCAAAATTTTAATTAATTTATTTTTTAGATACGCGCAAATGATTTGTATCAAACCATAAATTTGGATAAATATCTAAATTTTACTGAGCATTCAACTTGATCTAACTTTCATTTCTATAATAAAACGGACCTGTGCCAACAAATTCTAACACCTGAAGCAATCTCCATATGGTTTCCCATATATATATATATATGTGTGTGTTTTTTAATTTTTTCACTATAATGCTTAATTTATTATATTTTTAATTTTGCGAACTCTGCATTTTACTTGCAAGTGTCCTTCTCGCCCTGTTCTCGATCTATTTAAAACAAAATATTAATTTTTAAAAATTATCTTTCATTTTTATTTTAAATGAAAAGAGAAATAATTTAATGATAAAAACGTTTTTATATGTATATATCACTGCACACACAACTGGTTGTAAAACTTTTTCTCAAGCATTTTATTTTAAATTTTGCAAACTTTTGAGTTACGTTTAACATGATTTTGTAAATTACATGCATTCTTTGGTTCAATTTCGCAGGAATACAGTGGCAAGAAATAGCAGCATTTGACTATTGATAACGATTTGAAAACTAACAAATATACGATATAATTGAAATATATTTTCACTTTAAATTCACCTCAGTTGACACCTTAAACTTCTAAATAACATAGTTCTAATATTAAATTTTTGAATGTAAGAAAATCCTTTTTTATGGGTTAGTCAAGATAAATTCACAGTATATTATTCCACATCCTACTTTTACGTATATCCCCTTTATCAGCTATGAAATATCCCTTTAATTGGAAGTTATTAAATGAAGCTTAAATTTGTATGTAATTGCTAAATTCTTTCAATGCCAATTTTCAAGATTTTATTGCTACTTGGATGAAAACGTCATATATTCTTAGAAGAGTGATGAAACATGTTATCATCAAAGTGCAAACTTTTACGTATTAAATTAGCAAAGAATTTATCTCGTGTATGTTAGAGAGTGTTTAACCAAAATAGTTCAGTGCTCTTACTAGTTCATAGAGCATAGCTTATAGAAAGTGAAGCGCTTATGAAAGCCTCCATCCATTCAAAGTCTTAAATCTCGCTTGTGCTGCGTCAGTATTTTGATACTATATCTATTATATCATTGCTAAAATATTACGTAGAGCTAAGCCTAACTGATGAAGTCTTGTGGCGTAGAACACTTACTTTTCATGCCCTTTCAATGATTATATGTACTTGTCCGATAGCAGTTTACTAACAATTTTTTGGCACAGATATGATACAGACTGTTGATTCGAAATAAAGCAATTTAACGTAACGTGTGGTATAATGTGGATGAGTTGATTATTGTCTGCGTTTTAGTCCATATCACTTTTTCTATACCAATATGGCGCCATCTAGATTAAGAATTCGATGTAATGCAGACTCACTCGTGTAAAACTCCGTCATTTAGGTATTCTTGATCTGAGTACTCTCAGTCATCAATATCATGTGAAGGAATTGCATCAAAACAAAGATTTAAATTAAAGACGGTTGACGCAATTTTTCGAATTTTGAATATTCTGTCTACTTGTGTGAATCTTAGCCTAGCAAATACTTATAAATGATTAACTTCTTGGCTTTTAAATCAATACAGTATCTGATCTAATCATCTGTTCAAAAGCTATAGTACTAATATGGCAATTTATCCAAGGTTTTAAGCCTTACGATTTGATAAATCAAAACATGAAACAGAAATGGGCCAGTGTAATGAATAACACAACCAGAAACAGTTTCGCATTTCTGATATTTTGACTGAATATGAGTTTCTTGGTTTATTGGAAATATCCAGCTCTATCTTAATAGAATCATGCTTCTTACAGTTTTAACGCTGTTTCAAGGTTCTTGCATCGATAGCAATACGTTTGCAAAAATATCGATCTCTGTACTGACCATGAGGTCCCATGAAACTGCCACATACGTTAAGATGGCACTGGAAACTCCAACATTGAATATGCTGGGATACTAAGAGAACTTAGAAACATAGCTACCTATTTTTTCACTAATACACAAGCACTCATTTCTTAACTAGCGTAGTGTATCAATTCTGATGTCACCTTTCTGCGAGTGGAGTATTCCGGCTTGCTCAAAATTCGCTATCATTCCGCTTACTGGATCTGTTTGAGGTTACAATTTAGTTAATTACATACCTACAGCCTCGTTTATCTTTTTATTTGATTTTAACTTTCTGAATAATAACCTCTCTGCCTGAATATAACCATCTTCTGAAATATAATCTTCCTAATTCATAACCTTCTGGAATATAACTTCCGTGTTTAAATATAACTTTCTTCTGGAGCATAGCTTCTTTCGGAATATAATCTGCCTGTATCATTTTAAATTTCTTCTTCGATGTAATTGATAAAACTTTTGCTTCGTTTCAGTAGCTTACGTTCCACAAGTAAGAGTTACGTTGAATTGTTATATGTTTTTAAAATTGTTTCTTCGTACTAACATTCTACCTTCTAGAAAATCAACAGTTTAAACAACAAGAGTTTCTTGACGTGTATAAATCTGAAGAGGCATGTTTTTGCACTTCCAAGCTGAAAATGGAAGTAGTGATCCATAAAATCAGAAAGATATACTAATTAAAAATCTCACAGTTCAATATCATATTATTGAATAAAAAATCTGTTAGGAATAATTATTATATAGCAGGCAAGAGTAGCAGGTGATATTATATTTGATTTCTGACCCCTGTCCTAGTTGGATCCAGTGATATCTTAGTAGAAAATGCATTTATTTACTAATGTGGATAAGGTGTTAGTTATCTGTTAATTTCCAAAAATTATCTATCTGCTAATTTCTAAAAATTACTTATCCGCTAATTTCCAAATTATCTCTTAATTTCCAAATGATAGTCTTGTGGTCTTCAGCGTTTTTTTTCGAGAGCACATCAAGCAACGTAATTGGTTTGGTATATTATGGCAAAGCACTCGAGGACTATTTGCCCAAGGAGAAATGCCTTCATTGGAGACTTTCTACGAACACTGGCTTGTTTCTACGTTACACATTAGAAAATCTTCAAAAACGCATATGCAGCCAGCCCGTTCACCGAGATTCGGACCCTGGACCGAACTGCACTGGTGAGAGACTTAACAGCTTGGCAACTGGTGGGCTGTAACGTAACTGATAGTACTATAGTTAAAATAGAACTCCTCGAATGATTTCATTATAGTTTTCGATAAATCAATAGGTAGAAAATAATTTATTATTCAAAATAACATTTCATTAACCTATGTTAGGCATTTTCACAATTTTTAACCCGCCAAGCCCGTCATTTGCCGTATAAAGCACCATGATTCTGGTTGACTAACTATTTACAGCAAAGCACGTGAGTGCTATCTCAGGAGATGCATTCATGGAGAAGTTCCTAAAGTTATGTACGGGACTGATTTTGTTCTACGCCACTCAACTTCAATTTCTATTGAAACATAAATTTTCAGCGTGCAAGAACGGTGATCGAGACGTGGGACCAAACGAGTAGAGAAAATGTATTTATTGAGGCTATACAAGTTGGACGTTAAGATTTTCAAAGCTTGATTAAGAATGCTAATTTTAGATGTCAACAATGTTTTTAATGAATTCTCAATTGTAAATTTAAGGATTTATTTAATGAACGTAAATTACTTACTTTTTTTTGATAATTTAACAAAGATAAATAAGTAGTTTTTGATTATTTAATGACCTTACATACATTGCTTTTATAATCTGCTGTATTTAATACCTATATATAATATAATAATGAAGGTAAGTATAATTTTGTATAATTCGTATTACACATTGGTATTAAAATTACTTTTGTTAAGTATTTTGTCGTTCAGCTAACAAATTTAAAGAAGTTGATAATATAAAATGAATGTTCGAGATGGTAACAAAATTTATATTTTCTTTAGAATTGCATAGACAAAAAATTATATGAGTATTTCAAAAATAAAATTACTGTTTAATGATTGTAAAAGCGAAAATATAATTAAAGATGTTTTGTCCTTATAAAACTTCTCTTATTTCCCACTTGATTTTCATGCCTATATTCAAAATGTTTTATGTCACGAAACTCTCCACAAACGTTTTTTGTTCTATATATTCACTATGCAGCAGTATTTATATCACTTTATTTTTAAAAAGGCTGTACCAAACGTCTTCAGGAATATTTATTTTGCGGTTTTCGGTTGGTCTTGAAATAAGAATGAATAAAAAAATCGTCTCCAAAAATAATTGTCAAAGGAAAGATAGTTAAAATTGCGAAAAAAAAGGCGAAAACAGTTATTATTGCTTCCTATATTATTCAACGTAATGTAAACTATTGAGATATAGTATTTGGTAAGTCTAGCACCGAAAATGTGTCAGATTTAGCAAAGCATTCTACCGTAAGAGCAAATTTTCGAGACATTTAACTATCATCGTTTTCAGTCTATGCATAATGTTAATACTGAAAATTGAATAACAATATAATAAAAATTTCGTTTTCGATGTCAAATTTACAGAAATTACCATTTTCTCTAATGAAAACAACGAGCAATTGAGTAATTCATCCTGAAGGTGACTTATATGGTAATCTGTCCTACCTGGAAGCAGTGTTGCCAGAAATTTTTGAGTCAAAGTAGCAAGAGAAGAATCAAAAGACTCACGTGACATGCATATTCACAAAGTCTACATATCTTTTCTTCTACGGTCTGCTCTCATTGGTTGAAACGTCTCCTTGGCGGTCATTTTCGGAATGGCAAGTTAACGTCTTGTAGGCTTAGTAACGAACACCAAACACACCTTATGGGCTTTCAGTACAAAATAAGAGAAACGGGGTTTGTTTCATTAGATAAATTTTTATTTTATAAATGAAAGCAAAGGGGAATTATACAAGTATGAAATACATTTTAAATAACCTACTGATCATATTAATAGTTTGTTTGCATTTGGATACAGAATGAACTGAAACTGTTAAAAGTTCGGTAATTATTTGCGAGAAAAATGTTTACTTGGAAATGACATATGTGCCTTTTTGTTATTTGTGTTAGAAAGAGTCTTTTGTGTAAATTTCCATAGCTCATTAATTTATGCAAGTAAAAGAATATTTTAAAAAAGTGTACAATGAAGAGGAAATACATAACTTTCAAAGCACATCAACAAGCATTTTGCAAGGTCTAGACTCTGAACATCGCGGGGAACATGATATAGTAAAATAAACCAAGTCAAAACACTTAATAAACATTTAAAAGCGTCAGATACCTAGTCTTTTTACTTAAATTATGCGTAAGTATAACTCAAATTATATTTTATTTAAGGATGCTCTATTTCTACACTAACGCTTTTTGGCACACTACACTCACAAAGAAATAGCAAAGGCGATGGAGTAAAAATAGCCAAGCACAAGATTCTGTAACCCCACATTTACTGATTTAACCAATCGGAGCAAATCGTTGAAGAAAAGTCTGTAGGCTTTTTGAATATGCACTTGACATTGCATTTGAAAAATATGCACGTGACCTAGTCCCATAAATTTAAAGAAAGTTTCAGGAAACAGTTTATAATTGTCGCAGGATTCTCTTACAGTGGAAAATTAAAAATGAAAAGGAATGGGAAAAAATGTTAAAATCAATTCAATGTAGTATTATCAAGAGAAAGTTTATATCCAGAAGAAATTTCATTTCTGTGTCACAATCTCTTTCAAAGAGTGAAACTTAAAACAAAGCAATAAGTCATACTTCAAAAAGTACCACCACATTCTTTGAAAAAAATGAAGACTGATACGGATAGTGTATACATACTTTGTCAATGTATTCCTGCAATGCCCTCTGATGTTTCACCTATGGACAATTGTGTCTCCGGTCTCTTGAAAAGAGGTATTTCTAAGTGCAAGTCCACCACGATTGAATGACTGTGGAGAGTAATGGAAGAGGAATGGAAATGAATACCCATGGAAATTTTTCGAAAAGACCTTCTATCATGGAAATCATGATGCAGACTTGTAGTTCAGAAATAAGGCTATCATGAACATTTAAAAAAAATCCCAACACCTTGAATATTAATTAAAAGGCTTCGAAATCGTCCTAAAAATGTATAAATACTCTCTGTAACTATGTCGCTAAACGACGGTTTTCATATTACGATCAAGCACGTGCCAACAACACCACAGCCAACAACACAGTCTTAAGCTATAATAACGACAGTATAATATAGAAGTTTAAAAGCATGATAGCGTGTAGTATGATATAGTTTATGTTTTGTTGTATAAGTTATATATAGTTTTCACAAAAATGTAAGTCAAACACTTAACAAATGCCTAAGTTAAAATCTAATATTAATATCAGGTGAATTGAACAGGTTAAATTTATTTTCCAGATATAAAATACAGTAGATTAACGATTTTGTGAACTCATACGGACAGCTCAAAAGTTTGTAAAACCGAAAGTTCGTACATAAGAAATGACATTGAAAAATGCAATTTTCACTCAATTTTATTGTTAAAAGATTCTAAACATCAAATTTTGATTCTTTTGAAACTACATTCAAATAAAAATCCATACAAATCGTACAGAGCTAATACCGCACATTTTGATGATTTCATTTTAAAGTAAGATGCGAACATCCACTTGTTTATCGTGCACATAAAAGCATTTTCTCTTCTTTTTATCGGACATAATTAAGAAATGAAAATATACTAATTAAAAAGAAGAAGAATACACGTTAGAAGTTTTACTACTGATGAAAAATATTGAAATCTGGATTACGTTACTATACAAGTGCCAATATGTTTTATGCCTGCAGGTTGATCTGCTAATACTATCATAGTTGTTTTGTTAGAACTGCGTTACCTAAATAGTATTGCCAATTGTAATTGGGGAGGCAAATTCCTACATACTATCTTTATAAAATCAGAAGGTCCAAAATTTTTGGAAATTTTATCCTTTCACCAATTTTGAACAATTTCGTTTTCCCTTTCCGAAATTCTAGTTCTCGAAGAGGAGCAGAGAAGAAAAATGAAGAACTTGAACTCACAAAAAAGAAAGAGAATTTTTAATTCAGTTCTTGAAACGGGAGGGAAGATTTATATTAATTCTATGAAATAGTTTACTGAACTCTCAAAGTAGATCTTAAAAATAAGTAATTTCTAAATTGGGAATTTGTAAAAACATGAAACTTTCGTGTAAATCTGAGAGAACCAACAAGCCTACATAAAGTTAATAAACTCCTAAAATGAAAATATCACTATCTTTAAATCCATTTAACGTTACATTTTGGTACCCTCAGATCTTCAAAGAAAGAGCCATTAAAAGTTTTCCATTTGATGCTGCTGCGAAACAAAGAAAATGTTTTCTAATCGTAAGTGCCTGAAATAAAATTTATATTTATAAAAAAAGGAGACTAAGAAATTTATTTGACTTCCTGTAATAAAATAATAAATAATAGATGAAGATTTAAGTTTGCAATAGTTCGATAGCATCAAGCACTTAGTTGGTGGAATCCTTTTAAAAAACCGAGGCCAGCGAATGAACATTTCGTAAGATAGCGAGCCGAAAGGTATAACTGAGCATGCGATATAAAAGGAAATTGATTAAGCTTCTAATTATTTAGCAGTGTGAGCTAAATTAGACCTATATTTGTTTTGTAACGAAATACTGTATGCTCATAACTTTCCATAAGTTATACAAAGCCTATTCAGATTTTCTGTCTTACAATATCTATTACTTATTAGACAGTCAAATATTGTTTCCATTAATAAATAGTTAGAGAGTTAATCGAGCACGTTTAAATCCAGCTTGAGCTGCATGACAACTTGAAGCCTAGTAGATTACAAAAGAATTTAAATTCAATCCAAAATCAATGCCATAACATTCTATGAATGTATCTTCCCTTCCCTACTCTTTACTGAAAAGACAAATACTAAATTATTATCTCACGTAAATTTTCAAAGTCATCTTTACATGTGGATGCACATAATGATGACTCGAATTACCTGATAGTATCACGAAAACCTGTTAATCACACGATTGACGTCAAAGGAGAAAGTTAATAACACACGCATTTTCTAGTCACGCGCTTCAAGAAAGGTGCGTTATATAATACTGGCATATTTAGTTTTAATTGTGCTTACGAACGGTTGGACTATAGTTAGTTTTTGTTAAATTATTTATATCTAGTTCAAGTTCAAGGACTAATTTTTAGCTAAATCAAAGTTTCGGCTTCTTAGTAATTCTTAAAAGTCATTAACCTTCTACATTCACGCTTTGTTTTCTTGCTCTTCAGTCTGTCGTCTATTTCAGAAATTTGTCCTTTTCTTTTTCAAAATAACAGATTTATGGCAATCTTGCAGCCAGCCAGTCGATTAGTGCAAGTCCCTGGGTTATTATTCTGGTAATTCCTGTAGTATTTTAATTTGTTCGCTATTACTGATATATCGAAAATTAGATGAAACGATAGTCGTAAGTAGTCCTCTAAAGTGACTTTTTAACTGCATTTATTATTTAAATTCTTTAAAAACTGCATACATTGTATATGTGGTGCATTTTGTGCTCACATTCTGCTAACTACGGTTGAGAAAAATATTCAGGAAATGAAATCTGTCTGTTACTTTTCTACATTTTTTACAGATATGATGTCATGGTTTCATAGCAGCAAACGTTTCTTCTCGATTTCGTCTACTGAAAAATCACTGATGCAGGAGCTAATTTAAAATTCTGCGATTGCAGGAAATGTTTTTTAGCGTTAGAAATGTTTTTTTAAATTGTGGATGAGACATCGAATAGCTCCAGAGAATAAGCAAGTAACTCAGAATCTGCTGTCACTAACAGCCTTCTAGGTACGAGCCGACCAATTAACAGGATCATTGTCTTGATGGAAGAGCGCAACTGCTGCCTTCTCAGGCCGTTTTTCTTGCGGTGATGGATGAACCTCTGTCCATGTGATGCCAACAGTCAATAAGTTGTCTCTTCTCGCTATTTATTCAACTTGCGTAGACATGTTATCTGACCGGCTGCAGTATGGCTGAGGTTCCT